TTAGGAAAAAAAAAGTGCTCCGCCACTCAGCCCCTAAGTATACTAGATCCTTTTCTAGCCCCTGTAAGCTCCAAAACCAATCCGTCTAACATCCCAGAAAACCTACACCCTAAACCCTAAACGCCAAACCCTAAACACTAGATCCTAAGGCCCTAAACCCTAAATCCTAAATCCTAAACATGACTCCTTGAGTGTAGAGGATGCAAGAGCTGCAGTTCGAACGACATCGCCCCGTCCTCTGCAAAATTGGTGCTATCAAGGCCGGGGTTCAGGGTTTAAAGTTCGTATGGGGCTGAGTACCCTAGCCCAAAAAAGGTTAACCTTGTCAGTTAAAGTAGGATCATAGAAGCCCCCAAAAGGTTAAAGGTTATCTACTCAGCTACTAAGGGTTCAGGGTTTAGAGTTCCGGGTTCGGTGTTCTGGGTTCTGGATTTAGGATTCAGGGTTTAGAGTTCCGGGTTCGGGATTTAGGGTTCAGGGTTAAGAGTTCTGGGTTTGGTGTTTAGGGTTCTGGGTTCTGGATTTAGGATTCAGGGTTTCGGGTTCAGGGTTCAGGGTTGTCAAGGGTTCCGGGCAGGGCAGGGCAAGGCACTCCTACCGGCCACACACACAGTAGGTGGCGGCCTATGCGTTGGGGTTTAGGGTTTGGGGTTCAGGGATTAGGCTTTATCTGGTGATATTCACATTCATATTTCCGTAAGATAGTTTAGAGGCCTTAATAATTAGAACAGGGTTCTGGGCTCCTTGATAGTATACCTGTAATGAGAATCCCCCAAAATAATATAGGTAATTATTGAGGCACCTACATTACTCTACAGGGTTCAGTTTTTTCTGGCTTTGGGATTTACCGCAAGCGGACTTGGGTGTGCGGTAGGTAGGAGAGCCGACCAACGGCTTCACGATTCAGAGCTTCTGGCTCCAACAGCTGCTGGTACTTAACGGAAGTTCAATAAAATTCCTAAACCCTAAACCCTAAACCCTAAACCCAATACCAGCTGGACCCTTAGTGTGGGACCTGCAGAGACTGGATCTTGAGCTGCTTTGTGAAGCAAAAACGCTTTTTGTGAAGGCCCGATCGAAGCCTGAAGACCACGGCAAAGGGACGCTAAACGCTAAGGCTTAGTAGCCGAGTAGATAACCTTTGGGGCTTATATGACCCTTAGGGTTTATCGTGTAGGGTTTTGGTTGCTGAGTAGAGAAGTGTCAACCTTTTGGGGCTTCTATGATCCTACTGTAAGTGAAAAGGTTCACCTTTTTTGGGCTAGGGTACGCAGCCCCTAAGAAGGGGAAGCATGGAAGATGTGTGGCAAAGGTCAAGGCTTGGGGTCATAATGTAGGGGCCTTTAAATCATTATCAACTTTGGGTGGCTTCTTCTTATCATTATAGTATAATATACCCCAAAACCCTATTCTGATGATTAAGGCTTTAAACCTGAACCCCTTGAGACGATTTAGGGCAAACCCTTAACCCTTAACCTGAACGGTTTGGGTTTGTGCTTGAGGCTGGGGGTGTTCTTGAAGCAAAGAGCCTAATATAGAAGACCGAACAACTGCACACATTTGTCTAAATTTCCCTACCAGACCTGTCTCAGAATATACCCCAGAACCCTATTCAGTATTCATTAAGGCCCCTGTCGTAGAAGCAACCGAACGACACAGCTGTCCGAAGTGTGAGGCGATACTCAGCAAGGACGACGCCCCTTGGTTGCAAGACAGTGTTTATTCGCTGCAATCGTTTCTGTGGCCAGCCTAGTTTTCTGGATCGAGGGGCTGGGCGACGGTATAGGAGTTGAGGTATAGGATTATTCGGCTAAGCCCGAAGCCCTGAGCCCTAAACCCTAAACCCTAAACTTAGGCCCTAAACTCTAAGCCGTCTCAGGCTGTGTCATTTTCGGATGCAATGTCCGTTTTAAGTGTTAGCTTCGGTTTCAGGGCCGAGGATTCTTGGTACTGCTGATGATCTAAATCCTGCATTACCAACTATGAGAATTATGGTATATTCCTTATTATGGGAAACAATGCAGGATTTCTATCATCAGCCGTAGGACCTCTAAGCCCCAAGCCCCAGCCCAGCGAAGGTCCATTGCCGGCGAGTACTTCACAAGCTACTCGCCGCACGTTGCGCCGATCAGGGCTTAGGGGTGACCTATGGTGGTGGAGGTGCTGGTAGTGGTGGCTACTCTTACCCTGTGGCTTGTTCGACGCCATGAAGGTATGTTGAATTTTGCACCAATCGTTCTTGAACCCGCCGAAACAACATCACTCGCCATGTTTCCCGATACCATGTCTTGAAGCACGGTTTTTGTTCGGCACGTCCCTCTGAAAGCCCGATCTTCGCAGCCGGACTTTTCGCAGCTTTGAAGGAATGAATGTCTTACTGTTGCCGGTGATGGTTTCTTGTTGTACTCGTCGTGGTCGTGATTGTTTATGTCGCAATCGTGGCCGTGGTCTTGGCTGTTGTTTGTGACCGCGGTTGTGGTGTTTGCTGCGCTCGTCTACTTATAGTGGCATCACTGGCAAGTTTGGCTACAGTGGAATTTCTCCGTTGGTCAGTAGAAGTACCTATTCAGTTTAATCTGGAGTGCGACCCTGTAATCCCCACGAAACCCTAAACCCTGAACCCTAAACCCTAAACCTTTCACCATGAGGATGGCCTATGACAGCTTGGACCCTATGGTGGCGGCAGCGGGGGATGTCATCTTCGTCGGTGGCCACATGGCAACGATGTCGTACATCAAGATGAATGGCCGCCTGAGCTACTTCAAGGAGGGGCAAGTTAGGGTTTGGGGTTTAGGGTTTTAGGGTTTAGGGCTTACGGTTTAGGGTTTAGGGTTTAGGGTCTAGGGCTTTGGGTTGTTTTAGTAGCTGAGTAGATAAGCTCTTACCCTTTGGGGCCAATCCTACCATAATTGGAAAGGTTAACCTTTTTTGGGGCTAGGGTACTCAGCCCCTAAGGCAAAGCACACATTCAGTTTAGGCTTGTCGGGTTCTCCTTGTTAGCGGTCTGGGCAGTAGTGTTTAGGCTTTGTTCGGGTTTAGGGATTAGGGTTTAGGGTTTAGGGCGGTTACGGACGTCCCAATCTTAATGAGAGCTCAGCCTCCTCAAGTTTGGACACCCCCAAACCCTAAACCTTATAAAGCCATACAGCACCCTTGCGAAAGATCTATAAAATGGCTTATTGCTTGCGAAACCGAAACACTTCCGGAAACCACGTTGGGGAGCCAGACCGGTCAGGGTAGCAGTAGACGGCACGGGGTTTCTTGGTGTTGGGTGTCGGGACATCCGGGCATCCTACAGCCCTTGGACGAGCCCTCATGTAAAGGATCGAATCTGGCCCGTGTCAGGGTTTAGGGTTGAGGGTTTAGGGTCGTGTTGCGTCTTCACATGGGTGGCTTTTGGATGCGCGCGATTTTTCTACATAAGATCTTGACCATCAACTGGCTACACTCTTGGACTAGGTATGATAAACCGCAGGTACCTTCCCAATGCCTCTCCCAGCCCCATTATCTCAAGCTTCCTACATCCTGTATCAGGACGAGTTTTTTCAGCCTCTCAATGGGGACCACTGGATTTCAGAAGTCTGTCTTTGGGTGGCTTGGCTTTGCCCTGACATTCCAAGTGCCAGTGCACACGATGGTGCGGCATGATGGTTTGAATTCTCAGCCATAATATCCCGTTTTAGTCTCTATGGCTACAACCATAACCCTATATTGTTATGTATGGAAGCCCCATGTTTCACCAACCCCTGGAGGACCAAGCGACCTAGTGAGATGTTAACAGTAGCCGGAGACTTGCAACTGTACTTAAAAACATTTGTACTAGTCCTATGATATTTTCTGCAGGCCGAAACCCTGCAATTCGCTGCGTCTACAGCCGAAGTCGTAAATGTGTGTGCTTCGAATGCCTCTCAGAGTGGAAGGTTCAGGGTTGAGACGGCTTACTGACTAAGATGTGGGTCTGTGCTTAGCGTCTCTGCTGAATGCTGACATGAGGTTTAGTTCAGGGTTTGGGTGTAGATACCCTAAACCCCAAACCTTAAACCCTATTGGATTCTGTGGCACTCAATGTCGGGGCTGTCTCCGCGGCTTTGCATGCGCAGAAGCTGCGGTGTTTCACCCAACCCTGAAGCCTAATCCCTAAACTCTAAACCCCTTAACCCTAAAAACCCTAACCCTAAACCCCTAAACCCCTCATCCCTCAGCCGCCCCTCCATTCCCTTCGCTCTCTTCAGGCTCCTTGGGTTTACCTCGGGGATCTCGCACCATGGCTGCTGCAGCGACGGTTTAGGGTTTAGGGTTTAGGGTATTTTGGGGGTTCCTTATCATAATTCGGGTATAATAATACCCCAAAACCCTATTCTAATTATTAAGGCCCCTACAGTACCAAGCCCAAAAGATCTTAAGTACGCTTTTTGTGGTAGTTTTTCTAAACTAGGGTCCCTTTTAGGGTCCTTTTTGTAAGGGTGCCGTACTATATTGGGGACCTAAACAAGGAACCCGGATTTAGAAAACTACCCATATTAGGGCGGATATTTACCCAAACCATACGAGTAATTCTTACTATTATAAACCCACTTTCTACGGTATTGGTACTTGGGACTCTTTGGGAAGGGGCCTGAATCTTTGGAAAAAGTGCTTTGGGGCTGGATTAAGACTAAGAGACTGCATATATGCGAATACCGGTTCTGTCAAAGGCTTTGAAGCCGTAATGGCCTTCGGAAAACCGTTGCAACTTGTTCAGAGCCGTTAAAGGAACCCTTCTAGATCCCCTGAGCTCTCAACCTTAACCCCCTAAGCCCCAGTGTTATTATTTTGACCCTGAAGCAGACAGTGAAAGGATCGTTTAGGGTTCTGTGGCGTAGGGTGTTGAGTTCACAGGGGCCCGGTGTTTAGGATGTTGGAGTGCTCGGTGTTTGGTTTACCGGTTTTTGTGTTTAGGGTTTGGGGGTGTAGGGTGTTGGCTTCACCGGATTTGGGGGTTTCGGGTTTTTGTACGCGGGGTTTTGAGGTTTCCGGCTTCGTTTTATTGAAGAATGTGGTATTTCTATGAATGCTGAAGGCCGATACTGGAAAAAGCTATCATGCTTATTGGTTACGACTTCCTCCGAAGACGTACCCACAGTCCCACAGTGTTGGCATCATGTCCTTTAAGACCTCTCTCTAACCATGCTGAACCCGATAAAGGTCTTTGCAACCCTAAAGAACTCTGCTAAGCCTTATCGTGCTGTTAAAACCCAATAGCGAACTGTGCAAAGTGGTTGTCCGAATTCGGATCTCTGTTGGGTTCCCCGAAATATAGGGTGCCGTCTTGAGAGTAGAAATTATAGAGAAATTATATAGGGCTCCCCACAGGGGCCATGATTGCCCGCATATAAAACCTTACGCCCGGGCCCTAAAGCCTAAATCTAACCAGGAGTCCTTTTGAACCCTATAAAACGCTGTAGAACTCCGCAAAGTCCTACCAAACCCTCAGGAGAAGCGGAGTCCTACTAAATCCCAAAGCCCTGCACCCCTAAACCCTAAGCCCAAAAATCCCTAAGAAGCCCTAAACCCCAAACCCCTACTGTAAACCCCCCCCAAAAAATCCCTAAGAAGCCCAAAGAAGCCCTATAAACCCTACACCCTTCCCAGAGACTCCAATATCCCTTATTTAAGGAATAGACCTTAAATTATAGTAGGATCCTTAATATGATTTAAGGTATGTTCCTTAATTAAGGGATGTGGGAGTCTCTGGGTTCCCTAAACCCTAAACCCCCAAACCCCTAAACCCCTAAACCCCTAAACCCCTAAACCCCTACACCCTAAACCCTAAACCCTCAAAGAAAAGCGCCCCAGGAGAGCCAGACGACCTCGGAGATTCTGAGCTTAGATGCCCAGAAGTTTTGCACGATCTTGGCAGAGGGACTCTTGGCTCGATTTATGGGGTTACTATAGGGGGTTTAGGGAATAGGGTTTAGGGGTTTAGGGGTAAAGTTTAGGGTTTAGGGTTTAGGGGTTTAGGGTTTAGGGTTTAGGGTTTAAGGCTTTAGGGTTTTAGCGTTTAGGGTTTAGGGTTTCCCTTCTAAGGTCTAGGGTCTAGGGGCCTAAATAATTACCTGTACTGTTCTGGGGGTTCCTTGTTAGAGTATAATGGAACCCCCAAACCCTATTCTAATTATTAAGGCCCCTACATTATCAGTGCTTCGGGTTCCATGTAGGGCTCTGTAAGTTCTATAGGGTGTCGGGCTTAGGGTTCTATATAATATAGGGTTTAGGGTTCTATATAGGGTCTAGGGTTCCGTATAGGGTTTAGGGTTTAGTGTTCCATATAGGGCTTAGGGTTCTATATAGGGTTTAGGGTGAAGGAACCTGGGTTTTGTGATTTCGCGTGACAGTGCAGGGTTAAGGAGTTAGACGTTGGGTGTTTGTGTGCTGTGTCCTACCTACACCCTAAACCCTAAACCCTAAATCCTAAACCCTAAACCCTAAACCCTAAACCCTAAATCCTAAACCCTAAACCCTAAACCCTTAAACCCGAAGGAGTTCTAGGCTTCTGTAGGCTTCTATGTATAGTGTTCTACCGCGTTCTGTAGTGTTCTGTAGAGCCACAGCGGATTCCGTGGGGTTGTAGGTTATAAGTAATATAAGGGTGCACGATTTCGGGAGCTCGGTTTTTTATAGCAATGATCTTACTATTTCGGGTTTAGGCTTGCGATAGCTTGTGGATATGGGGTAGTTATCTAAATCGGGTTTTGTTAAGGGTCTTTTTCATAAGGGTAGCGTGCTATATTGGGGACTTAAATTAAAACGGGACTCTAACTTAGAGAACAGCACATACCCAGAGAACCCAGTACCCCTTAAATATGGAATATACCTCAAATCATAGTGTTAAGGCCCCTATAAGAATTTAAGGTATATTCCTTAATTAAGGGGTATTGGGTTCTCTGGGTATAGCATCCACGGGGTCAGGAGGAGGATCTCAGGCTTGAGGACATCTGAGCGACTGCGATGCATTCCACCTCAGACTCCAGGGTTTAGGGTTTAGGCTTTAGGGTTTAGGCCTTAAGGTTCAGCTCTTAGTTTAGGGTTTAGGGTTTAAGGTTCAGAGCTTAGTTTAGGGTTTAGGGTTTAGGTTCAAGATATTAGGGTTTGGGGTTTAAGGTTCAGGGCGTAAGGTTCGCCAGCAGTTTTTAACTGCGCAAGGCGCCCTAGCCACTTTGAGCGCAAGCGAAGCGTACCCTTTCTAGCTTTTCTACGGGGGCTGATGCTTGGTCCCTAAACTTGTTGATTTTATCGTTGTCGCGCTTGCGCCGGCTTTGCAGGAGGCTGTTTGGCCTTTGAACTTTTTTATTTTCAATTGTTCGCACTTGTGCCGGTCCTGATTCTCGGGATTTGAGCTTTGTGCTTTTCTTGTTGCCGGCTCTGGCCGTAGCCCTACTGCCCTGGCTCTTGTTCCTGCTCCACACCACGCCATGCCGTGCTCTTGACCCTGCCCCTGGTTCAACTTATTTAAACCCCCGTTCAAGCGAGTTGCTTCAATTTTCTCAAACACATTGTTTGGTTTGCATATTGCAAGTTACTTGACCTTGGTGCGCTTTAGTGTATTTAAAATAGAGACTGCCAATTTACGTTTAGGGTCCGTAAACCCTATGCCGTCTCTCCAATTGCAGTGCTGGTTCCATTTATATAAACCTCCGTGTGGGTGAATTGCTTCAAATTTCCTTAATAAACGTTGGTTGGTTTTGCAATTTCAAGTTGCTTAAACTTCGCCGGCTTTTTTCTACATATAAGACATGGCCAGCTTACTTCACATGAACTGTGGTTGTCGTTTGCTTCCTTTCAATCCTTCTTTCCTTCTGCTCGTCAAACAACAACCTGCGCTGGCGCACTCAGGCGCCAGAGTTCTCAAATTTAGGGTTCCCAGAGACTCCACGACCCTTAATTAAGGAATATACCTTAAATCATATTAAGGATCGTACGATAATTTAAGGTATATTCCTTAATCAAGGGATATTGGAGTCTCTGGGTTAACCCGTTATGGAATGCGTCTTTGCTACGACGTGGAAATTTATCATCGCTAAACCCTAAATTCAAAGTCAATTCTGTCGTATGCTCCCAGATCCGCGGGACACCCCTTTCCGAAAGCTGAAGCCTGAACCCTAAACCCATGAAGGCAAAACCCGAAACCCAAGCCCTAGACCCCAAACCCAAGCCCGAAACCCTAAATCCTACGTAAACCCAAAAACCCTAAACCCGTAAACCC